GCAAATCTTCACTGATCAGTAATAAGACAATTACATTCCCAGAGAAGCCCAAATATTCAACAGATTTTTTATTTTTTGACAAAGAGATAATTGGCAGTGATACTAATGATGGAGCAGACCAGGAGGACTCATTCAAACCTCAGTCGAATTATTTGGTTTTCCAGAGAGCGCAGCACATAGGTAATAAAGTAAGTATTGACAGTTTCTATGTTTTGAGCCCTCTAAAAGCAAATCATATTAAACTAAATAATAACTATTTTACAAACATGTTAAAGTCTCAACGTTTGTGGAGATTTAGTACTTGTAATCACCTTATATAATAAATGTAATAAACTGTTTTGTACAATGAATTGAGAATTAACAGGGATCTGGAAACCAGAGTTTATAAATCTTGTATTAAATAGAAATAATTTGTATGATATTTGAACTGAGGCATCTCACTCACCCAAAAAACAACAACAACAAAAAAAACCATAAAGCATTTATCATGATTTTGAGCATAATTAAACCCACTGTTCTTTTTTTAAACAAATGCATTTTATTCTACATATTAAGTATGCGGTTAATTGCCACAATAAGCTAAGACTTATGTGAATTTCACAGTGAAATGAAAATTAAATTGTATCTTAAGCTACATTACTGTGTTTTCATATGTGATGAGACTGAGTTTTGTACAATATAACTGAGTAAAATGAATATCAGCCGGGCGGTGGTGGCGCACGCCTTTAATCCCAGCACTTGGGAGACAGAGCCAGGAGGATCTCTGTGAGTTCGAGGCCAGCCTGGGCTACCAAGTGAGTTCCAGGAAAAGGCGCAAAGCTACACAGAGAAACCCTGTCTCGAAAAACCAAAAAAAAAAAAAAAAAAAAAAGAATATTGAACGATGAAGATAGGAAAGGAAATCAAATGTGCTTTGATTATCGTGAGTGGGCTACTAATAATGATTGACTTTGTCTCCAAATTAAACGAATGAAAAGCTGGATTTCCATTTATCTTGAGCACAGGGATCTATATCCCAAAATGTATTATTTTTAATTAAAGAGAGATGGAATTCTACTTTTTTCTCAAGTGCAAAAACAAATCAAGTTTTCAGTAACAGAAATTGTCTTTATATATTTACAAAAGAAGCACTGGGGAATTTTGTAAAGACCACATCATCCCATGAGCAAGTTAATAGTAAACTTATTTCTTATAATTCTCTGTGTTCAGTAGCTTAATGCTAACCTTCAGCTTAAAAACTAGTATGGTGGTATTAATGTAAAGTTTTCCAATTCCTCATCACTTCTTCCTGTGAAGTAGTGCCTGACTCCTTTTTCCTTCAGAAGCTTTTTTTTTATATAAGAAATGAATATCCATTTTGTATTAGCATAGCCTTTAAACTTCACAAGTAGTGAGAGCACAAGGTTGGGTTTTATGCTGACATCAGAAATAACGGTATCTTATGTGAAAGTCTTCTCATGCAGAATTCTCTGGGGTTTCACAGTCTTTGAGAAGTGCTTTGCAAGTACCAATCACAACTTTGTAGTTTAGGAAAAGTCAATTAGTAATAAAACATGCATTGCATAAGAATATATATTTTGAACTGTTCAGTCATGTATTATCATTATAATGTTATTTTGGAGAATATTTTATGATCTTTCATCTTTAATTAGCATGTACCTACTACACTGAACAGGCTAAATACATAAATTTCAGGCATCTTTATTTCAAACTTAAAAGTTTTTTATGAAAATTATGGTCCTTGAATATAATTTATTTGTAATTTCAACAAATACATACATGGGCATAATTTATTTGTAAAGTCAACAAATAAATACATGAAAACAATACTAATTTCTAAATTGTCACTTTTTCTTCACTTCTCAAATTTTGAAAGTTCCATGCATATGTACAAAGCATTCTATGCCTCAATCCACCCTCATAATTATAGATTATTCTGGAGTTGGTGGGAACTAATTAGATACCCACAATTGGACAGTGTACAGAGTGAAAGACTTTGGAGAACTCAGTCATAAGTGGGATGTCTTCATTTATTCACTGCCCCAGGGCCCAGCCTTCTCTGAAGAAGTGGAGGCCAAAAGATTGATTGAGCCAGAGGTAATGAATTACTCCACGGGAGGAGGGTATCATACAAGCACAATAGAACTAATGTGTTTTTGCAGCTGACACCTTCTTTCATGGGGAAAATTATTTTCTTCTAATGGAGTGTCTCTGGCTATATCAGCCACACTCCAGAATAGGAGCATCTGGTCAACCCCAAGTAAACCTTGCGTTCTGCTGCAACCTTTCCTCTTCCAAATGAATCTACCTGTCTATGTCTGTATGTCCGGATGACCCAGTGAGTTTAATTAGTTTTACAAAAACAGAGATCGGAGGCCGTTTGCTTCAGCCCTGACTTAAAGAATATGACTGAATAGGAGTGGGAAGAACGTAAGAGTCAAATGATGGAACCATGGACAACACCAGGAAGTGTTCTATGCAGTCTGTAGCCATTGAAATTACTGCAGCTGTAACTGCCTTTTCATACTTAAATTATTCCAACTTTTCCCTTTTAATTTTGTTCATTTTGTGGTTAACTATATGATAAGAACTTCAATTTGACGAATGGCTAATTGATTGGTTGGTTGATTGTTTTTCTCATAAGTGGGAGGTGTACCTAGGATCTTGTATGTGCTACACAATTTCTATACAATAAATCTACAGGCTGAGAATCATAATAATCCCCAAATTGACCAAGTCAGTGTATCTTTAATCACAGTGCTATGTATTAAGTGTTTCATTACAAATGGTTGCACGATTAGGGAACAAAGTAGCAAGGTCTTTGAATTAGGACATCATGACTAAGTTCCAAGTCGATATTTTGCTTTATAATAGTTTTCGCGTGATTCATTTTGTTCGTTTTGTTTTTTGTTTTGTTTGTTTCATTTTGTTAGAACTGGGAGAGACTTTATTTTTTATCCCTTTTATTGAACATAGATTCTTTTCTCCTACAATTATCTGATTACAGTTTTTCTCCCTCCGTTCTTCCCAGTGTCTCACCATCTCCCTCCCATCCAGATCCACTTTCTGTCTCTCATTAGAAAATAACAGGCTTCTAAGAGATAACAACAAGCATAGTGTAATAAAATGTAATAAGACAAAACAAAAACCATCACATCAAATTGTACAAGGCAAATCAGCAAAAGTAAAGGAGCCCCAAGAGAAGGCACACTATGCTTAAGGGGTTTGAGAATGCAAATTTTTATTTTGATTACTTTATTTTGCTACTTAAAATTTTTAATTTTGATTTTATGTAAAATCATTGTCAACTTAAAAGAGGAAACAACCATAGAAATGATAATTATATACTAATTTGGTAAAGATTACATCATTTTTTTTTCTTCTGAGGGCAAGAGAGCTCATCTTATCCACTTTCGAGGCTCTATTTTTCCTGTGTCTATAAAGCTCTCTTAATTGACACAAAATCAATTGTAATCATTATGAGAGAGAGCCTAAGTTTATTCTTATTAAATTTTATTTATGGGCAATTAAATATGAATTGCATGAAATTTCATTTGTTGTAGAGTATAATTCTTCATTTTAATTTGTTTTCAATCTTTATTTTTTAAATCAGGCTGATAAGTTATACTGGTAAAGCACCTGCTGAGAACCTGAAAACCACAGATACAAGGATCAACAGGGTATAGAATAAGAGAAGAGAACTCACTTCTGTAAATCATCTCCTCCACATTCACACTGTGGCACATGGACACATATTCACATTTGCAGGTGCATACACACACACACACACACACACACACACACACATACAAGCACACACTCACACACTTCTCAGTGTAATAAAAACTGATCAAAAAATTAAAAAAAAAATAGTTGAACTTGTTAACTTGGATTGTTCAAAAAGTCTACATGATTTCCTACTATCACTATAGACGGGTGTAATAATTTCAGCGGTTCAAAATACTAGAATTGCATTCTCTCAGAGTTCTGGAAAGCACTAATGTAGATGTAGCCAACCGTCTTATTAAATAAGAAACACAGAAACAATGTAAAAGAGAAAGC